AAAAAAAAAAAAAAAAAAAAAAAAACAATCTTCTACACGGACGCCGTCCAGCACACCAGCCAGTCCAACTCTTCGAACTTCATCGGCTCGCCCATCCATTTCGAGATATGACCGCAACCCCTATTATAGAAGGTAGCATAATTAGTCATTAACCATGAAAGTGCAAAAACAAAAGGAATTCAGATCGATCTAAATAGTTTTGACAGGGTTGGGCACATCTGCATCTGGATTTGTCCATTTTAGCTCAAGTTGATGATCTTCAGTCAATACTAATGGCTCCTTAAAGAGACTTCGAGACTCCACGTAAGTCCATTCATCCAGTATTTGATATATGCAAATGAAGATGATAAGTAGCAAAAGATTTCTACGTCTCCGTTGTCAATGAACTACAAATAATTGTGAATGGAAATACAACCATTACATTCTATAGTACTTGGAAAAATATGTATGTCCAGAGTCCTCAAATTCTAGTCAGACCAAAGTATGTGCACTTTTTGTATCTTTGATCGAGATCAACAAAAAGAATCGCATAGCGTAGAATAAGTTGAACATGAAACATCTTTGGGAGTTTATTTTACTAAAAATTAACCCTGTTTGGATGGATAAAATGACTTTCGGAAAATAGAACACAAACTTCAGTCGAGAAATTTTCACAAAAAAATATATGACGCACCTTTGTGATTAAGATTTTCCATAATGCCCTTAATTGAGTCATATTGGCGAATTTGTTTTAAAACACTGATCCCTCCAATACCTGAGAAAGAAAACATTGCTTACATTGGGCTATGCTAACATTAATATAAAAGGTCCTGGCAGAGATGGGGTTGATATTGACGAAACTAACTCATACAAACACAGGAATATATTTTACATAGGGATTTTTCAATTCATAATAACATAATCCACTATGAAATATATTAACACACAACATAAACGTTTTTTATGTCTATGAAAACCAACTCACATCGTTCAATAAAATCCAAAATGCAATCAAATTCGAAAAAAAAAAAATTAATAATAACAAAGACTGAGCAAGAACAATTTCACGGAAAGATAAAATTAAAAGGAAAAAATAGGAACCTTTGGAGTTGCGCAAAGTTTTGAGCACAGTGATGTAATCAAATCGACCTTGTTGTTGATGCTCTCATAGTCTTCTTCTGCAAGCAAAGAAAGACAATGTGAGAGATTGATTTAATTAATTATCTGAAATAAGAACACAATTTTAGAGTCCACGATTCTCCCGCTGGTACTTTTGGAGGTGATCGTCACCTCCACACGAGGGCAAACTGCCAAAAAAAATGAGAAACGCGATTGAACCCTAAATCTCTCAGCAAAACAAAAAACATCGATCCAAGCCAAAATGAAGATAATTGTCTATGGCTCCTTACTCCAAACAAAAGAAGCACAGCTATGGCGGCGGAGGTGCAGGTCGTGGTGCTTGAAGTGGCAGACTCAAGTTGAATTGAGACATCTGTCGGTGCACAGATTAGAGGTCAGCATAAATTCTCTAGATGATATCGCAATCAACTAATCTGATTAATTTCTCGCCTTTAACTTATCTTCTTCAGCCGCCCCGTGCAGCCACACCGCCGCTCTGGTTCTACCCGCCACAAGATCGTCGGCGCCGAGAGTGTGCATAATCGTGTTCTTACGATGGGTGTTCCGTGTAAGAAAATGAGAGAAATTGGATTTCTATGTTCTGACTGAGGTTTGTGTGTGGGAGAGACTCTTTGAGATGAAGTTTGGAGAACAGATGATGTCTTTCTTCAATCACTCAGTCGGTAGCGTGTGAGGAAAACCCGGAAAAGCAACACGCTACATTCTGAATATTTTAAAATAATAATAATAATAAAAAAAAGGTTAGATCCAAAGTTTGGATCTATATATCCTCGTTTTTTATTTGTTTCCTACAATTAGCTATTGAATTGTAAATGCATTTTAAAAGTTGATAACTTTTGTATTTCTTATCAGTTTACATATATAATATATTAAATTAATCATTTTTTAATGATCTTCAATTTGACATCTATATTGTATATATGAAATAAATAAATTATATATATCTTTATAATAATAAAAAATAATAATATTTACTAAAATTCATTAGAAAAATAAAATTATTCTCAATTCATATATTTATGTTTAATGTAGTTATATATTATAAGTTACAAAATTATTATAATATGACACAAGTAAGTCACACAAATAAAAAGTGACATACTAAAAAAAATATAAATATTTTTAGAAAGTATTTAAATTTTCAACTACCTTTTCTCAGTAATTTTAGATTTTAAGAAAAAAATTAACAAGCACTCGTGTAATACACGAGCGCTGTACTAGTCTCTGCAATAGATTCACAAATATTATGCCTGTTTATTTGACATTGTGTGAAGATCTCTCATATTATTGCTATTCTCAGCCACTAATTTATAAACAAGTGTTAACCTTCATTTATTTAACACAAAACATGCACGTCCCAAAATATGCGTTACAATTGTCCGATCTATTTTGTAGATAATAAAATAATTTACATTATTTACAATAGTACCCTTTTTTACCTAAATGCATTGAACATGTGTTTTCTTGACGTGCAATATGAACCGATACTGTGGACGCCTTTCAACGGCATTGGTCGTGAAAATACAGAGCAACGGCACATGGCTATTATAATGAGCGTGCATGAGTTCCTCACTGGGCCTTCTGTAGCCTGTAGGTATAAATTACAACGTCAGTCTTAGGTGTAAGACATTCACGTATAAGATACATGAAAAACAAAAGGCAATTGGATAATAGACTTAATCAATTGAGGGCATCTGAGGTGATAATCACTCAGAATTTTGGTGCGCATTTACAAATATATTTGGCAATGTTTTCAGGTTGGCTGGTCGAACCTGGTCGACCACGGACCGACCAAACGATTAATCGTGATTAATCGTCGACCAGCTAGATTAATCGGGCTGCCTCCTTCCTATATATATCCTAACCCTAACAGGCCAAACAGGCCAAGCCCAGCAGCCCACATACCAGCCCAAAAAGACAAATATATGTCCTGGTCGTCCATATGCCCTGGTCGGACGATTAATCGCGATTAATCGACGCCTAATCGGACGACCAGGTTTCGGGTCGAGCTGGTCGGGTCGGACCTCCTAATCGAGCATTTGGGAGCGACCAGGACGATTAATCGCGATTAATCGGACGACCTAAAATCAGGGATATTTGGGCATAAATCTAGATTGTAGCATTCATCATTCACTTGCTGCTGGAAATCAAGAGAAGACAAATTCAAAATGGTAATTTAAAAGCAATGCAAGTAAAAACAGATAAATCTTATGAGCAAATGAGTAAATTCGACTCTCGAGTCACTAAAGGCAAAATAAAGTAGCCGAAATAAAAGATAACTTACTCTTGGTCCACGGTTGGTTGCTTGGGGCTGTCGATTTTCACCATTTCAGAACTACTGAGCTTACAGAACGTTTCATGAGCTCTCGTTATAAATGGCTGCATTATATTTCCTTCCTCAACGAAAAAAAAAAGTTGCGAACTTTCTACCATTGGTCACACACACACGAAAGAGGACATAAAAACATAATAACCTGCTTAAGTGAGTATCCTATCCGAGACAGTCTAAAAAAACCACCCTCCCCGGCACCCTCATCAATGATCAGCTGAAGCTTGAACATCCTATTAATCCTATCCCCAAACATGCTGGGCTCATCCAAGCTGAATCTTGATGTGAGCAGGGCAGTCTCATTAGTACCATACCACATTGAAAAGCAAGTTAAAAAAAAACAAAAAAATAAGCTCTATCAAAATGAAAATTAAGGAGTCCAAACCAATAGGGATATATATTAATCGAACATGAAAAACTCTAAAAAAAAATGCATCAAGATTTGGGAAATGTGAATGTGAAACTAACATTGAGGAATATTATATATTGAGAAATGTACGGAGGTGTCTCTGATCGTTCCCGCATAAAATTTGGGTAGAACATACTCCTCTCTAATCCAGCCGCGAAGTCCCGTCAGTAGGGTAGTGGTTTGCCGACGATCCAAACTCAGTAAACGGCTGAACACAATCACCGCTCTCCAGTATCTCGGCCTCTACTCGCCAGTGATCTCCAAAATAGACTGCAGGACATTTCTATACAACACTGCAACAATTCCAAATTAAAATAAAATCGATTCATCATACAATGACGACACACACGCTCTTATTCATGTCCAGAAAAGACAACCAGCAACAGAAGTCGTAAAAAACATAATTATCTTTCTAGAGTGTTGGAAAAACATAATCACCTAATGAACATGATACCAAATTAAAACATTTAATTCGTATACTGGCAGATTAGACAAACCAAAGCTAGCAAATATCTTTCACAATAAATGAATTATGAACATGACTACGCTATCTATCCGAGATACTAGGCATTCAAAACATTAAGCGGCTTCCTAGAAATTGCACCAATTTTAAGCGCCAGACACGTGGTATATGGTGTGGCCAATTAGAGAGAGAATTTTCCAACCATGGATAGAATCCTTAAGATCCGTTTTATAGGCAGAAGAGTAATAGGTCATAACTCAAAAAAGCACACATCTATGATAAAATGCATGCCCTCGGCACAAATATATGAAAAGGTGTACCAAATAAACCTAGCACTTGTACAATTGACACTGCGAATGTGATTTATGAATGCATAATTGAAAATCAAGGATCATAAATTTTCATAAACAAATCTCACCAAATATATACCTAATGTCAAAGAAAGGGTTCCTTACATGTTGCTCTAGACGTTTCCTTGCATGTTCTTGTACCTGAAAAAAAAAATGAACATCGTGCAACTCACAACAAAGTTATATGTACACAGATAATAAAAGGTCTTCACATCAAAAGCTTCAAAAGGCTCTATGAACTTGCTAAGACAGAAAAATCAAATGATTATTAAACCATAACACAATATTATCTTTGTTAGCATTAGCTCCCAATATTACATTCTAGGAAACTTCATGATGTCGTCAGATTGTACAAGAAAAGGAATATTTCAAAGAATTTCAAATTTTGTAATATAGTGAGCTGTAATTGTAATAATAACACAACAATTGTTGGAAAGTGATGAAAATGAAATAAAAGAAGCTGATGAAAAAGTTTTAAAATTTTTTGAGAATCAAATATTAAAAAATTTAACAAACAAATTTCAGCACTTAGGTTCTATGTCAGACATGATTCCATTCAACATGTTAACTTGTTGCACAATATTCATGCATGTAAGTATTTAGGAGAACAAAAATTACCATGTTTTCCATATAGCAAAGTGTGAATTTCCAACCAACACTATGTTTTAGATTGCATAATAGAGCATCAATCCATTCACTCTTGTCTGAAATTTCTGTTATGATTGTCAATTCTCCTTGCAAGCAAAGGAACAACACCAACCACAAAAGCTAAAGGAAGAACACAAATTAGAGAAAAACCAAACCAAATCACCTTGAAAGCAATCACATTTCTGGGCCTCCTTGTGAACCATATCGAGCATGAACATAGTTTTAAATGGAGAATGTGGAGGCGAGATGATTGGCCCATGGCCTCGCCACCGAAGCGAGGCGATTCGCCATGGCAAGGCCTCGGCTACACATATCACCAAAATTTAGAAAAACAATATTACAGCTTGCAATTATATAGTTGTGTACAAATGATAAAAATAACATCAAATAAATCCCATAAAGGCAAGTAATTGAAACACAAACACCACTTAAGAAAGTACTTGAAGGTTTTTGAAGGTAAAGATTTTTTTGCTTATGTCCTCAGTCCAGTAAAAACCTAGCTTCGGGGGTCTGGGAGATGAAGGAAAAAAGAGCCCGATGTGCGTTTTTTTAATTCTCTTTTCCAGAAAGTGTTAACACGCATTTATTATTATTTTTGTAAAAAAATAAGGGGTGGTCTGCGCCTTTAATTCCCCTGAAAGGCGCCAAGGCGCGCCACACAGGCGCCTCTCGCCATGCAAAAAGGCGAGCCGAGGCGACCTGAAGCGAGCGCCTCGCGAACAAGGTCGCCTCAGGCAGTGGCGAGGCGATGTGGCCCTCGCCTCGGTCGCCTCGCCTCGAGGCGTCGCCATGGCGTCGCCATTTTAAACTATGAGCATGAAATCGATCATCTCAGCCCCTTGGTGTAGCGCCCTCTGTCCCAATTATTGTTCGCACCAGACTACCTGAAAATGAGGTAATTGGGTCTAAAGAAATGCACGAAGGGCTCAGATCGGACGGAGTCCATGGTGCCAGGTCGAGGTCCGAGAATGGCTCATGAGTAGAATGAAATATGAGCTAATAAAAATTTAAAGAAAACTCATTCAGATTCCCTAGTCGAGAGTTTTGTACCAGGTGACAATTGTTTGAACTGACCTCAAACAATAAAAGTATGCAGCTGCAACACATTGGGTGCTATCAGAGATTTTCTAAGTAAATTTAGTCATCACACTTTCAAGTCGAACCAGCAGGTCATTCAATTCACAAAACCATTATCTAGCCTCACAAGATTGTCACATTCATTGTTCTCAATACATGCTGTTTTTAGCATCTAGAAAAAATCAATAACTATGCATAAAAAACTAAAATTATTCAACTGAATAGAACTTCGGATAAATGACATTCACTACACTTTGTCTACTTGCCTTCCATTAGCGCCAGAAGTCCACATCTTTAGAGAAACTTATCAAAAGAAAAATATTACATAGCAAACAGTAATTGCTTTTGTATATGCTGCAATAGCACATAATTATCAGCCGAACTCGAGAGGAAATGGTCAAAGGAGCAGCATGCCTAATCAAGATTATATTTTCACTAAATTAAATTTTCTTTGGAAAACAATTTGCATATGTTTTGAAATATTGCGTGTAATTTGCAGACATTATATTCTATTGAAACTTAGTTTTCAAAACCTGAATGATGAGGTACTTCAACAGGCTCCAGTAGTTATTATTGTCACGGCTGACATTCAAAAGTTCCTTCGGTGCTGCCTCCTTCTTGGAATTCACCAAATCATTCAGTGCTTGACGAACCTTGATTCTATAAGCATTAAGTTTCATGGAGTATACGCTACAACAACCACATTACCAACAAAATCTTCGTCAGATGGCAGCAAAATCAAGTTCAAAACTGGAATAATTAAAATAAACGAACTAAGGTTAATTTATCATACAACGAATTCTCACGTCCCGCCAACTTAGAATCTACAATCTTGATCTCACGAGAACAAACTCCGAGGTATACTAAGAAGGCATTATTTTCTCTCTCTCTCTCTCTCTCTCTCTCTCTCTCTCTCTCTCTCTCTCTCTCTCTCTCTCTCTCAGATCTATCCCCAATGTAATTGTAGAATACAAAAATTCACTACCCAATTAACAAAACCACTCACAAATTAGCATCGAGACCCCCAACCCCAAGTTAATATGGATTAATTTCTTCTTCGATTTAATCTACAATTACATATCACATAAAATCGAAACAATGTTTCAGGTGGAAAGACTCAAGACAAAAGACATGACAAAATAGAAAACCATAAAATTAAGAAACTTCACATTTTTCATGAGGATTTGGACTTGCTTCTCCTTGCGCTTTTATTCATGCCTGATCTTCTTCTCCGCCTCGACCAGCTGTAAAATTCTCAATGTTGAATTCCTGGACTAACAACAACAATAATCATAAAGATCACATTAAAATTGAGAACCCAAGAAAAAAGATAAAAAGAGAAACAAAAAAATGCAAATCGCAGAAATTGTGCAGGAAAGAACGAACCTCCTCGACGGAGACAAAGATCTCGTTGGCCTTCTATGCCGCTTTCTGGAGGATGAATTGAATCTTCTTCGAGACGTTGACGTAGTTCATGGTTTCGGGTACGGATGGGTCCTGCTAAACGGGTTTGGGTATTAGCTGTACTACTTGGAAGCAATTACGTACTTGGAGTTTTAAAGTACTTGATTATGTGGAAAAAAATCCGTGAAATTCTCAATACTTTGTGATCTTCTGGCCAACCCTCTCAGAGTCTAAATTTGTAAAAAAATATCATTCTTGAGGGGTACAATGAAAGACCTTCCGAGGCCAAGATCTGTGATCTTGAGTATACCTTTGTACTTGTCGGGGAGCATATTTTGGGGCTTGAGATCGCGGTGGAGGAATCCGTGGTTGTGGCAGTGAGCCCTTGTAGAGCTGGTAGAGAGCATCTGGAGGAAAAAAATCATAAATCAAAGTAGCCTGATAAGGAGGGTTCTCTTTCACTACATTTTCTAACTATGTATAAATCGAAGAATTCAAAATCATCGATCTCCATACTCTGAAATTGATACACATTTGACAACTTAAGAGTGAGTTAGCTTACAAAATTGAACATGAAAACTACACAAACCATATGGCCAAGCATGTGGTGGCAACGACCAACAACCAAATCACCAGCAGATTATTCTCCTCACTCACACTCATGGCTTTCGGATTTGATGTCGCGAGGGCTCCAGGGCATGTACAATCTCGTTGGAGGGCTATCGATAGCCCAATGTCTCGCTCATGAAAGCATGAGCTTTCAGAGCTAGGAAGGTCCTGAAAGCTACCATCAAGCTCAATCGCTGACTCGATTTGGTTGGGCACCGACGAACGACGACGAATGTACGATAGGGTTTCACGACTGGCGGTTATCTGACTTAGCAGGCTACGACCTGGAGGGTGGAATTTGGCTGTAAGGCAAGTGATGACATGTGAATACTTGGCTAGAGTCCAGCACGATGACTATGGTCGCAGTGACCTGCACCATCAGAGACTATTTTAGTGGTGGCCCATGTAAGAGTGAACGGGTGATTTATTTAAAAAAAAAATATTGAAATTAAGTGGACAAAAAAAAAAAAGAAAAATGGGAGTGGACAAGCATAAAACACACGTATTCCTTGAATACGTTTTTCGAAAAAAAATTAATTAAAAAAACGTATTCCTTGAATACGTTTTCATTTAAATGTTTTAATTAAAAAAAAATCGTAAACAATTTTCAAAATAATTTTCGTTAAATAAAAAAAAAATAATAAAAAAAACCGTATTTAAGTAATACGTTTTCAGAAAACGTATTTACTAAATGCGTCTTAAAAAAATTTATTTTTTTTTAAACATTCATTAATCAAAACGTATTTAAGGAATACGTTTTACATTTAAATGCACAGAAAACGTATTCCTTAAATACGTTTTGCATAAAATATATTAAAAAAAAAATCTTTCTTCTCCATTTACGCGAGCGAGCAGCACAGAGATGAGGAGCACTACTGAGAGCATTTTTTCAAAGAGAAGAGCGAAAATAGTTGAGAAAAAAAAAACTCGATCCAATCTTCACTCTAACGTGAACCGACAACAGCGACACGAGCCTTATTTCTGGTTAATTCATTCGCACGAGGTATATTGGTTTATCTTAACTTTTTATATTTGTTTGGAGTTATTTGGAGATTGATAATTGTTATAATATGTTTGAATGTGTTGGTGTTTGAAACTTGAAATTGCTAATTGATTAATGATTATGTGTGTATGTTGAATTGGATATTGAAATATTATGTGTTAATTGTCAATTGTGTAATTGTTTGGTTGTTGTTGTGGTTAGGGTTTTTTGAAATTAGGGTTACAATTTATCAAAATTATAGATGATTTATATGTTATTGTTCGATAAGGGGATTATTTGATTGAGAATGATTTTTTTTTATGGTTTTTTTTGGTTGAAAGTGAATTATATGTTATTGATGGATTATGAGTATTAGGGTTTGTTAAACGAATTCGTGATTTTATTTTTAACAGGTATAAATGGCGTCTGCCGGACTACCATACTTTGTTAATGTGTATTGGAATTATCCCTAAGAGGTTTTAGATTCATTTTCAGATTTTATAAACCGTCCGGATGGTTCATTTTGCATTGGGGAGAAGATATCATTTCAACAATTTGTAGATATACTTTATGAAAATTTTGGTTTCCGTCGAAATGGTTTGACAATTGAGGGGATTAGTTTACTGACAAACCGACCCGATGGGTCGTGGAATATCGGAAACATGAATACTGATAGTGCCTTTGAGTGGATATATTATTTTCCTGCTTTCTCCTATGTGTATTTGCATTTAGAGTTGAAGCAGGTTACGCAGGCACCTACAGTGATTACACAGTTTGAGGATGTTCCCCCTTTTTACGGGGGAGTGCCTGATTTTGAAGGTACGTCCACTTCGCATGTTCGTAATTTTGGCGAAGGGACAAGCACAACAGCCAGAGAAGAACCCGATGATGATTTCATTCTTGATGAAGACGATTTCATAGATGATACATCGGAAACGGAATCGGATACATCAATAAGCGAGGAGAGTGATCCAGAGTTTATTGAAGAGCACCCATTTCCTAGTACCGGTCAACACGTGTATCGCGAGATGGGTGAGTGGGACTCGTCGTGTGTAGACCGAGATGAGCATGCTCTCCCTCTTTGGAATGGAAATGTCGATTCTATCCGTTTGGGTACTGTTTTCCGGTCTAAGGAAGAAGCACAGATTGCTATAATGAATTGGAACGTGAGTAGATTGAGGGAGGTTAGGTCAAAATATTCGAATAAGAAATCATTCAAGGTGGTGTGCAAATCCGAAGAAGCTCAGCCTTGTCCGTGGAAGGCTCGGGTGTCGCACTGCACACGGGTTCATGAACTGTGGGAAGTAACGGAATGGACCGAGAGGCATAGTTGTATGCAAGAAGTCGACAAAAATGACCACAGAAATGTAACCGCCACAATGATTTCCAATCTTATCATGACCAAGATTCAAAAGAAACCGGAGTACAGTGTTACCCTGATCCAGGAGGATGTAAAAAAATGTTGGAAAGTCGATGTGAGCTACAAGAAGGCGTGGCACGGGAGGAAAAAAGCCATCGACAGTTTGTATTGCACTTGGGAAGAGAACTTCGCACAACTCCCTCAGTAAGAAAAATTTTATTAAAAATGCACGTATTATTTATTTTATCTCACTATGTTTATGTATTGACGATTACGTTTTATAACGTGTAGGTTTTTTGCGGCGCTTCAAATAGCGAATCCCACTACAGTTGTACAGTGGGAATGGCAGGGTGGGGATATGGCGGCCCACTATGAGCACAGAGAATTCAAATTTGTTTTTTGGGCTTTTGGTCCCGCCATTCAGACCTTCCAGAGATGCCCGCCGGTAATTAGCATGGACGGCACGCATTTGCGTGGCTCGTACAAAGGGAAGTTGCTTATGGCCGTTGCACAAACTGTAAATAAGCGGTTATTGCCAATCGCGTATGCGATTGTGGATGAAGAGAGCAGGGAAAGCTGGTCATTTTTCCTGACCAATCTACGGCAACATGTTGTCGGCGACAGACAGATATGCTTTCTTTCGGACAGGGATGGTGGCTTACAGAGTGCCGTGGATTCATTGGCGGCTTGGCAAGAACCCGCTGCATATCACCGCATCTGTCTTCGACACCTTCGGAGCAACGTTGTTACTAGGTACAGGAATAGCAAAATCCGAAATTGGTGTTGGAAGTTGGGTACACAGCTTTCAGAGCGAAAATTTCAACAGATACGAGAGCGGCTTTCGGATTTTAATCCGGATGCATATAATTACCTGTTCGGAATTCCTCTGAACAAGTGGACCCTGCTTGGAGACGAGGAAGGACGTAGATGGGGTACATTGACGACCAATATGTCCGAGAGTTACAACAACGTCCTGAAAGGTGTTAGGTTCTTGCCCTGCCGAGCTTTGGTATGCGCCACATTTATGAAAACTCTGGACTTGTTTGAGCAGGAACAAAAGAAGTCCACGAGATGCAATAATGCCATTGCTAGTGCCCACTATGCGGCTTTTTGCGAATTGGAGAGTACGGCCGCAAATCATAAGGTGAGATGTGCGAACGCGGCCAGATCTCTATACGAGGTGACAACGGGTCTACGGCCGAGTGGTAGAGGGGACAAAACGTATGTGTTTTATTTATTTATTTTATAATTTTAATTTTTTTAATTTTGTTCACTAAAATTTTTAGTTGTTTATAAATATAATTCAATGTGTGGAAAAACAGGTGTAAGGTTTGGTTCGACGATATGCGTTGTCGTTGTCTGAAGTGGCAGACACATAGGAAACCATGCTCTCATGCTATAGCTGTGTGTCGACAACTTAATACTCCACCGAAGTTATTGTACGATCCCTATTTTTGGACGGAGACCTGGGTAGCTCAGTTTTCTAATTGGACTTTTGCTCCGGTTGGTGATCCGGACACATGGCCGATGGTTGGATGGACCTTACTACCACATTGGGAGAGGATGATCATGAAGGCTGGACCCGGTCGCGCGCAAACGAGGCGTCATCGCATGCAAATGGATCGTCGGGCACGCCGTCGGAGTGATAGAGGGCAGTGCAGTAGATGTGGTGATACAGAGCATTATGTGGATGATTGTCCGTCTTCACATCCTCGCACTGATAGATCTAGACGCCGTGATGAGTGGGGAAACTAGATTTGTTAGTGTGTATTTTTTTTTATGTGGGACTATTTTTTTTATTGTTTACTTTGATTTGTTGGACTATGTTTGGATTATATAGTCAAATTATCTTGGACTGTATATGAGTTGGTTTGTTTGTGTTTTTATTTTTAGGTGATTGTTCTGAAATTATGTAACAGGTTGTAACAATTTTGGTGTAACAGGTTTATATTTTATGTGATTGTTATCTTTGGACATGTTTGCTCTCTGAAGTCGAATTTTTTTTTTTTGGTCCCAGGAAACCGTATTCGGAGAATACGGTTTATATATTGATTTAATTATAAATCGTATTCTCTGAATACGTTTTATTTATTGAATTATTTGTAAGTCGTATTCAGAGAATACGGTTTATATATTGATTTATTTGTAAACCGTATTCTCTGAATACGCTTTATTTATTGAATTATTTGTAAGCCGTATTGTGTAAATACGGTTTTTTTTAAAAAAAAAAGGATACGAGGATCCCAGATTGGGGACTCGAACCCTGGTCTGTGGGTGAGTTCGGTTTCTCTGGGCGCACCTCGTACCATTGTGCCGCCAGGCACCTTGCGTTTATTTCTGCGCAAATTATATACATATACATATAATATGAATTCAATATATTATATACTATATGTATATAATATGATTAAAGTCGAATTAGTAGAATTTAAGTCGAATTAATACAATTGAAGTCAAATTAATACAATTGAAGTCAAATTTGTATAATTAAAGTCAAATTAATGCAACTGAAGTCAAATTTATATAATTGAAGTCAAATTAATACAATTGAAGTCAAGCTGATTTTCCATTTAATGTTGTTGATTATTAAGTAGATTATGTTACTGAGTTTTGATGTACAGTAGCTTTAAGTCAAATTTGTACAATTAAAGTCAAATTAATGCAATTGAAGTCAAATTTATACAATTGAAGTCAAATTAATACAATTGAAGTCAAATTTGTACAATTGAAATCAAATTTGTACAATTGAAGTCAAATTTGTACAATTGAAATCAAATTTGTACAATTGAAGTCAAATTTGTACAATTGAAGTCAAATTTGTACAATTGAAGTCAAATTAATACAATTGAAGTCGAATTAATACAATTGAAGTCAAATTAATACAATTGAAGTCAAATTAGTACAATTGAAGTCAAATTAATACAATTGAAGTCGAATTAATACAATCGAAGTCAAATTAATACAATTGAAGTGAAATTAATACAATTGAAGTCAAATTAATGCAATTGAAGTCGAATTTGTATAATTAAAGTCAAATTAATGCAACTGAAGTCAAATTAATACAATTGAAGTTAAATTAGTACAATTGAAGTCAAATTAATACAATTGAAGTCAAATTAGTACAATTGAAGTCAAATTAATACAATTGAAGTCAAATTAGTACAATTAAAGTCAAATTAATACAATTGAAGTCGAATTAATACAATCGAAGTCAAATTAATACAATTGAAGTCAAATAAGTACAATTGAAGTCAAATTAATACAATTGAAGTCGAATTAATACAATTGAAGTCAAATTAATACAATTGAAGTCGAATTTGTATAATTAAAGTCAAATTAATGCAACTGAAGTCAAATTAATACAATTGAAGTTATAGTACAATTGAAGTCAAATTAATACAATTGAAGTCAAATTAGTACAATTGAAGTCAAATTAATACAATTGAAGTCAAATTAGTACAATTAAAGTCAAATTAGTACAATTGAAGTCAAATTAATACAATTGAAGTCAAATTAGTACAATTGAAGTCAAATTAATACAATTAGGGTTTAGGGTTTAGGGTTTAGGATTTAGTATAGTATATTAATACATAGTTATATTATATATTATATTATAGTATGGTATATTAATATATAGTTATATTATGTATTATATTATAGTATGGTATATTATATTAATATATAGTTATATTATGTATTATATTATAGTATGCTCTACCATTTTATAAATAATTCACATAACAACGTATTCTGGGAATACGTTTTACAAATAATTCACATTATATAATATAATGTATGTTTTAAACCCTAAACCTTATAATATAACATATGTTATGTTATATTATATTATATAATCCAATTTATAATATAATATAACATATGTTATATGTTATATTATAACATAACATATAGTAGATGTTATATTATATAATATATACTATATATTATATAGTATAACATATAGTATATAATATATTGCAATTTATAATATATTGCAATTTATAATATATGTATATGTATATAATTTGTGCAAAAATAAACGCAAGGTGCCTGGCGGCACATTGGTACGAGGTGCGCCCAGAGAAACCGGACTCACCCACAGACACGGGTTCGAGTCCCCAATCTGGGATCCTCGTGCCTTTTTTTTTTTATTTCGGAAACTGTATTCCTTGAATACGTTCTGCAATTAAATCATGCAGAAACCGTATTCAAGGAATACGTTTTGTATATTAAATATATATAAAAAAAAAAAATTCTTGAAACCGTATTCCTTGAATACGTTCTGCAATTAAATCATGCAGAAACCGTATTCAAGGAATACGTTTTTATATTAAATATATAAAAAAAACTTCTTCTTCTCTTCTTCTTACGCGAACAGAGAGCAAAAAAAAAAAAA